TCCCATTCCCCCGACGATCAAAAACCCTATGAAATCGTGATCAATTGAAGACCGATCGACGACAAATCAATGTTTTAAATCTCGCAAACCCTAGTATGAAAATTGTGATCCATGCGATTATGATAGTGAATCGACAACATCTACGGCGGCATATAACTAGGATGATGGCAAGGACTACGTCAATGACGGTGGTCGTGGCCGTAGAGGAGGACAACGACGAATTAAGGTTAAGATTTGGGCCTTCGGGGTTATTTTATAATATAAGAAAAATTAAGGTTTTTTTATAAATATAATAATATTTTTACGATTTTTTTTTAAAAAGAAATTTCAAAATTAACAGGTTATGACACGTGTTATTAATGGAAAAAACTAATGTCGTTGACGGCTCGAGTACCTAAAGTACTAACGTTTGTAACGTTAGGCACCCGGTTTGGCCAAAAAAATGTATACACTTATTTAACACAAAAGATATAATTTAGACACTTATTTGGGCATTAAGCTTTTTTTCACATAACTATTTTAGAATTTATGTTATAGTCATTAAATTTTAATCCATTTTCATTATATTTATTACCGTTAAAAAGAATAAGATGTGGCACGTCAAAAATTTTAGGGTGGTCACCGTAAATGTTAAGTTTTTGACTAATTGATCAATTTCAATTATGAAAAGATTATATTTGACCAAAATATTAACATAATTTGATTTTAAGTTTATTTGATGGTTAATAGTATCATACTATAATTTTTTTTTTACTTTTGGACAGAAGTTGAAGAAATTGTAATATTTTTTTAACAAGTTTGAACCAAAAAAGAATGATAAAAAAGAAGAAAATTAGTTTGATAATTTTTTCGACCAACAATTTCGTTGAACGATAATAAAAAATAAGGCTTAAATATAAAATAAGTGTCCAAACTATATAATTTTTCACGAATAGGTGTCTAAAATATTTTTACTTATTATGGTGCTCAACGATATAAACTTTACCATTTTAGGTGTTCGGGCCATCAGTGACGGTAATTTCCTCCGTTAAATGACATGTGTCACGATCTAGTATTTTGAAATTTTTATTTAAAAAATAAAAAGTATATTTAAAAAACCCCAAAATTTTTAAAAAACTTGAAAACCTCCCCCAAACTTTAAAAATCCTAAATATAGTCCCTACAACGTGCTCGCTGTCACCTGTTGATGTCATTGTTGTCGACTAGACTTCCAACTGGACATGCCTCCACCGAAGACCTATTCTCTGATGAGCAATCGCCATAAAAGTGACGAAATCAACCCCGAAAATACCCCGTCGAACGAGATAAAACAACTACCATCGCAAAGACCACAACGACTCCACAGCAATGACGGTGTCGAATGACTATAGAGATGGCAAGGAAGGTGTTGGAGGCAGTGGTCGTGGTCGGAAATGGTGCTGGAATTAGGGTTATGGTTAGGTTTTGAGGATTTTAGGGATTTTAGTTTTTTTTGTAATTTTAGAAGAAAAAATAGGGTTTTTATATAAATATAATATTTTTAATTTTTTTTAAATTATTTCAAAATTACTATACCTTGACACATGTCACTTAACGGATGAAATAATATTGTTGAGGGCCTGAGTACTTAAAGTGGCAACGTTTGTAACGTTAGGCATCACAGTGAGTCAAAAAATACTTTAAGCATTTATTCGTGAAAACGATATAGTTTGAAAACTTATTTTATATTTAAGTCTAAAAATAATGATAAACAGAAAAGTGACAACTGCTAGATTTATTAAATGACATAAACTCCGGTAATAAAAAATAATTTTGATAATCAATGTGAAATGATAGTATTAATATAAATTTATCCTTACAATATTTATATATTCAAAACCAACGGGATTGAGTTGGCTTAAGTGGTAAACAATTTGATATCATTTAAGTAAAGTCTAAAGTTCGAGTTCTTATGTATACTAAAAATATTTACTTGGAGACTCACCTATCAAAACTAAGTGTGGGATGCCGGTCGATCCGGATTAGTCAAGATAAAACCTTAAAACGTATAAAATATTTTCAAATTCAATTCGAATTCATATCCACACAAACAAAATGATCAAGGCTACAAGTAAATCTTAACCACATAAATCCATATCCCCATATTTATAATGAAAACAAACTCGTATTACTATTGAACAACATAAAAGAGAAAAATGAAAGAACATGAATATCATCATCAGCCTTTACAAATGAATATCATCACTCATCAGAACCTGTCAAAACTTCCACCATAATCCTCATCACCTTGACCCTCATTTGCAGACACGTAATATACTCAGCCGTCTCCCTGAACAGACCGTCCAAATCCACGGCTTCCCTATCCGGAATCAGCTCCTTCAACGCCTCTACCTTCCTCCAGAACGGATTCGAACCCCTTTTACGAACGTCTATCCGCTCCCCCCTCTTCATCGAAACGGACCTCCTACGCCTCGAACGGCGCTTTACCAATGAAATATCGAACTCGGGCATGCTTTCGACCGGTGATGGGGGCATTGAAGGAATGATCACATATAAGGACAACACGAAAGGGGTGAGGGGGAACACATAAATGGGGAGTTTCATGGAAGGTGTGCAAGGGAATGGGGAGGAATGAATAAGAAATAGCCAAGTGTTAGTGTGTACTTAAATGGGGGTAGTTTGCTTTCAGCATGTTCTCCAACTCAATTAACATGCAACCACCTTTCATTACTCTCAAAAAAATAATAATGAAAACACCCTGGATTGTTCTTTCTCCAACTTACCTTATTCAATACAAGGATATATTGTAAGCTTTGGGTGGACCTTAATTTTCCAGCTCAATCAACATTGGCATTCCCCAAAGAAAAAGTTGCAGACTCTAGCTAGGGTTTGTCGTTTTCATGGTGGTTGGCCCTTGGTTAAACTATGAAGAGGATGCATGCCGGGATGGACTGAGGGATTCACGGGGAGTGAGCGATCACCTTCCTAAATTTTTTTTAAAAATTTTCATATAACTTAAACAATTTATTAGTATTTTCTATTTACGTTCAAGGTTACGTGTAAACAAAGGGAGATGTTTTTTTTATTAAGTTAAGGTGATTACTCTCAACTATTTGATAATAAATATTTAACCATCTTTACAGTCGTTAGTGCTCAAACTTATATTCTCTTAGAACAATAACGATTCTTTTAACCATATAGATAATTTGGTTCGTGCAAATGTAGACACTTTAGATCATGATGTCGGGGATAACGCATGTTCGATTTTCGAAAATGTTCTAGTAAACATGATAACTCGATCACCTAGACAGATCTTAGGGACAAGGATGCATGCATGTATCACTGCCATGTAAGTACTAAGACAATTTTCATGGACATGTTATCATTTCAAGAATAAAGATTTAAATATTTTATTTTAATTTAGTGATAAACTATGATTAAAATTGTGAAAATGTTAATTATTTATAATATTTTCACGTTTTAAAAAATGAATTTATTTAGCCAAATCATTACACGATAACTTAGATGGATATATATTAAAAACCAATCAAACACGTGTCAATCGGCGTCTGCAAAACAAACAAATTGCTATGACGGCTATGGCACATGGGCGAATCCTTTCACCACATGACAAATATGCTTTAGTTAAATCATTATCCATTAAAATTTGCTAATGATCGTATAATAGTGAACATGCTGTTTTTCTATATGTGCCACGTCACCCTATTAATAACATCACATGTATTGATTAAAAAATTTCTTCATTATGATGGACAATGCAAGTGTTGGAGAAGAATGATAAGATTATTGTCTTGTCCCTTAAGTCATAAGCGTAAGAGTAGGATAGTTTGTCGATAATGATAGATAAAATTTCCGACGAATTATGTTGATATATATTTATTAATGGTATAACAATGTTCTTATAATCAAAGTTTCTCAAACAATAGTTAGTTAACTTCAATTCATAATTGCGCGAACCAAACTATATCACTGGTTAAAGAGGTGATTATTATCACCATAGATTTCAATTCGTTGTTAAATGATTGAGTGTCTTTGAAACAAATATTCTGAAAAGTGTTCAAATACTCTGACAATTGAGAGTATTTGATATTTTGGGTAAATTCCGTGTTTATTACCTAAATTATCAGTTTGGTCCATTTTAGTATACAAACTTTTAATTTTTTCAAAATCAGACCCAAAGTTTAATTTTTGTTTCATTTTAGTACCCCAATTCAAATTTTAACGTTATTTTTTTAAAAAAAATTGAAAGCTTAGATACTAAAACTGACCAAAACTTATAGTTGAAGTACTAAACACTCTAAGTTTTTAACGATGAGGTACTAAAATGAAACAAAAAATTAAACTTTAGGTATGATTTTGAAAAAATTGGAAGTTTAGGTACTAAAACGGACCAAAATTGATAGTTTAAGTACTAAATGCATAGTTTACCCATTAAATTTTTTATAATCTCATTTTTATAACTATTCTGATCTGCTGATCAACTAACCCGAATCCGGTACTACATAGGCGAGAGCGACCATCCCCACCTAGCTTGCTCCATTCACAAATGTCAAGATTCAGACTCCTGATCTTACTTAAGGGATCTAGTGTTTCATCCCACTAGACCAACCAATTGTTGGTATGAATATAATTTAATAATAAAATCATAAATTAAGACTTTCTATTCTATTTGAGAAAAGCCTATTTGCTCTATTTATGATTTTACATGTGATTAATTGCATAAAACTGTTATTGACTTCGAGTTTTATATACGTATGTATATATATAATATTGAAAATTTTTGGTTCAAATTGGAGTTCAATCGAATTTGATAGAAGAAAAAAAATGACATAAAATTTAAAAAGAATTATATAAAATTTAGCTATCAAGTTTTATTATCATTTCAAAGCATTTCACAACAACATAACATAGTAAAACACCTAACTTGTATACCATAACACTGCAACATCACTCACTGCAGCATCTATAACAAACTTGACCAGCAAAACGATGTGCTGAATTCAGAGTTCATCCTTGGCCTGTTGGGAAGCTTTCCTATCGTTGTTGGAATGCAACTTGACAGGGTAAGAGGCTTCCAAGGTTAAACCACAAAGGCCTTCTTGAGCTTCGACGTCTCGTCGCATCCTTATGTAACCCTTTTCTCCCCAGTCTTCGCCCCACGAGTTCTTCACAATCCAGTACTTTGTCCCGTCATGAGTTGCGCCGTAGCCTACCACTGCCACCCCATGGTTCAGCTCCGTGCCACAGTCTCCAATGAATATGCCCTGCCGAACAAATACGTAAATCGGTCCCAAACCGTGTAATTTAATCTTTATCAGTTTTATGGTTTGAAGATTTCTATTACCTCCGAGTAGAACTGGAAATCCTTGCCACCGGCATCTATAGCAATAGACACAGGTTGTTTTGCAACAGCTTTCATCAGAGCTTTCTCATCCTTTTCTGGTACCATTTCATAGCCATCAATGATCACCACAGGACCATTCAACTGAAAATCGGCATCCAGGCATATTCAAACTCATCATCATATATGTATATAAACAGTATTAAGAGCTTTCTTTTGTTACCTTGGCCGAGTCACAGGACTCGTCTTTGGCTTCGTATGGGTAGATTTTCTCAGTAGTTAGTCCATCACTTTGCTTGATGAACTCGAATGCTTGTTCCATCAATCCTCCATCACATCCTTGGTTCTCCTTATCACAATCAACTAGCTCTTGTTCAGATAAATTAACAAGCTCCCCCGTTTTGATTTTGTTTACACCCTCCACTGCAACTACAGTTGAAAATGCCCAACAGCTTCCTGCAACATCAATGACCTCGAGTTACTTCAGATCAACATGTGATTTGTGTTGATTTGTGAAGTGTCTGTTGAATTTAAATAGACATTAAATGATAATAACCATTCCTTACCACATTTGCCTTGGTCCTTGATACCAGTAACTGCTCCTTTCTTCCTCCAATCAATGGACTGAGGAAGGTTGTCAACTTCGCAGTGCTGGAAATCAGTCATCCGCCTCGGACCATGTAACATCCGGTAATGGCTAATCTTCGAGCTCCTTGTACTCATGAACTCATAGTTTGTCATATCTGCAAACTTGTTCAGTTTCAACTTATAAGGCCTGTCCATCTGGTTCACGTTGTGGATGTGTTTCAGATTCTCCTTGAACACATTGAAACGCTTTTGCTTCTCCTTTGCGTCACGGGAGATTGTATGGTGGCTCCTCCATCTCTCATACAAATCCCACAGGCTCTCTTCCGAAGCCAAATCACTCTCATGATAATCGAAGCTCTCGGCTAGCCAAAAGGCCAGAGCCAAGGAAAACACAACCACTATTAATTTCCACATATCCATATTAGGTGAATCCTCTACGAAGATTTAATTCCTTGTTTGTCCAGAGATGGAAGCGTGCCCTTTTATGGTAATAAAGGTAGGGTGTTGGCATCTTAACTTTACAAAACTTTAAGCAGAAATTAAGGTAAAAAGGATACACAGATTTTGAAGAAAACAAATTTGCACCTGTTTTGATAGGCAGTTTATTACACTTTTGTGTGTAAATACCACAATTACATGCTAACCCACGCTGCCTTTGCTTTAACTTGTTCGTAGCAGACAAGTTGATTACGTACTTGGTGGTTGCCAGTCGATTCAGATCATGATTTCTTGCAAGTCCTGGAGATAAACAATGCTTAAAAGCTGCCACAACTTTTCTTCCGAAGATCTGAAATTTATACGCGTTGCATATACACGTGATACTCATATGTAACATTTGGATAGTAGTGAAGAGCAGAAAAAATGATATTATGCAGGGAATGTGCAGCACATCTGTTATTTTCATCAGAAAGAGCATACATTCAAAAGCTTACTAGTTACCACTCATTTTTATCTCATACCACTTAATCGAACATTGGTAGGAAAATAAGAATATATTCTTTAGAGTGATATCCAAGGACTGATCCATGCATATCCAAGGCATTTCATTGCTATAATAAACAAATAGAGATCAATGACTGAAAGTCTGAAACACATCTACTTCGCAACGGTCAAAATACATGGTAGAGCATGCCAAGAAGCAACACGAGGTTAGTTAGCTTTGAAAGAAGACATAACAAAATCCAATGCCTATACAGACATCACGATGGTAAAAAAGGTACATGGCTCAAGATCGAAAATGAATTCTAAAAGATTGCCTTGAAAAGAATGCTTAGAAGTGAACTTACAACAGTCTGGTTTTAGCAGTTGGTACGAACTGCTTAAACAAAAACGAACTAGCAAGTTCTTAGCAGATTCTGCACCAGCAAGGTATGCTTTGTCTAAACATGTTAGCAAGGTAGTAACCCATTAATCGTTCACAATGAACAAAATTAGTATGGCAAAGTTGTTGACGGTAATACCACACGTCTAACAGAGAATATGATTGTTATATCAGAAAGTGTTTTCAATATCTTAAAAACAGACCTAGGTACGATAATGCCAATATAAATGTGTTTTTAGGCAAGATCTGATCTCTGACGCTCGACTATAAGTCTATAACAAACAACATCAAAAGATGACAACATTAAGAAACTCAAGTATTTATTTACGTGTACTTTTCAGGCTAGACTTAAGAGTATCCGTAAGCCTTTGATTAAATATAACATACCCCATATCAAATAAAGTAATATTTGCTTTGTAGAATTTGTCGTGTCTAAACATTCAAATACTACCTGCATGAAAATGGAAAAGAACTGGTGGCCAACAAAAACAGCTGGCTAGTTTCAGGTAAGGACTAAAGACTGAAAAATCAAGTTGGAGTAGGAAGGTGGTGTACATTATCAAATATCATCAAGCTAAATCACTCAGACTCGGATATAAGTGTTGAATTAGAGCATCTGACTGACATAATAATGTTCAACTCCTTGAGAAGTTTTTTTTTCATATATTTGGGATTATATCGACATAATGATGTCCGCATATGTGTCGGACACGAAGACTTAAAAAAAATGAAAACTCAGAGCAACAGGTCAGCTAGTAAGGTAGCAAAAGAATGTACAAATTTTTTTCTTCCCCCCTATCATACTTTGAATAAGTTAAGACTTCATCTGAAAACAAAAACTAGACTCTGATTCTCACTCATCCCACAAGAAAGAGCGACAGTCAAAGTCCTACAAAATTAGGAACGAAATGCATTCAATAACCAATGTAATGGAATTCATCATTTCCCAATTCATCTTTATCATAACAAATGAACATTTGAGAAGCACAAAACAAACAGAAAACTCATCAATTTCAAACAGATCGGCATTCATAGAAGGAAACAACAATTCGTCCATGGGCATATCATGGGGTTATCTTATCCAGCTCATTTTAAAAGGAAACTATTATGGTTCTTCGCCACAATTCCACCGAGACTAAATTAAAACAAATCGGAGCTAAAACAAAATGACAAGAACAAGTCAAAGACTTGAAACGCAGAATTTAGGCGAGACGCTTATTCAGCTTGGCTTGCTGAAGCAGCTCTTCCCTCATTCTCCTAATCTCCGCTTCGCTTTCCAATCTCTCTTTCTGCAAGCACAACAGCATGCCAAAACATAATAATGAAACAATCTAGGGTTTTTTCCCCTCAAATTTTAATCAATCTACAATAACAAATCAAAAACATTTATTTAAAAATCGAAATGAAAGAAAAGGGGTTTTGCTGGACCTTCTCGTCTTGATGGAGGGCGATCCAAACGTGGACTTTTTCCATCGATTGCCAGAAAACGAAGGCGCCTAATGACATCGCGAAGTAAGTGGCTACTCTCACCATTTCTTTGTCTTCTCCGCTTCACCGGCTGCTCGGACTGGTCTTTCGAGGCTAGGATTCTCAGCAAATTTTGATCACCCAGTTCCTAAATCGACATTCAATGCTTTACTTAAAGATCCGAATTGCTAGACGACGCCGCATGATCAGTAGACCATCCTATGTGTATTAATTAAAGGTGAACTGCATAAATGATTATTTGAGTATTAATAATTTTTTTTTGTTTTTAATACTTGAATTTTAAAAATAATGAGACAATTATTAATATTATTGTTTTATAATAGAGAAAATAACCTCAGTGACCAAAAATGCCTTATAATATATGATTTTAATCAACTTTTTTTGGATTTGTCAAAATGACCAACTAAATCGCAATGTGATCGATAATTCGCAACGCGATCTCCGATATCGCAAATCAGTTTCCAGATTCGCAACGCGAACTTCGACTATCGCAATGCGAACTTCGACTATCGCAATACGAACTTCGACTATCGCAATGCGAACTTGGACTATCGCAATGCGAATATGTAAATCGCAATGCGATAGTCGACTGTCGCAATGCGAACTTGGACTATCGCAACGCGAACTTCGACTATCGCAATGCGAACTTGCGAACTTGGACTATCGCAATGCGAATATGTAAATCGCAATGCGATAGTCGACTATCGCAATGCGAATATGTAAATCGCAATTCGATAGTCGAAATTCGCGTTGCGATTTATTCCAAATTCGTTGCGATAGTCCAAAATCGCAACGACTGGTGGTATTGCATTTGTTTCTTAAGAATTTTCTCTAAAAAGATAGTATTCGCGCGGACGTGTCGAAGACACGTATTACCACGACCACGACCACGACCCGACCTGACCCGAGACGGACGGCGGCGGCGGCCGAGAGTCCCCCTTGTTCTCTATCACTCAACAAGGAAGTGGGAAAGCCAAGCCTTAAATACCATTCCCAATAGTGTTTCCAATACTATGTGGGATTGAGCATTACCAACACTTGTTCCCAATACTATGTGGGATTGAGCCTTAAATAGTGATATTATTTTTGAATGTTTTGCTTAAAATTGCAATAATCGCGATTGATTGTAGATTGACTTTTAATTATGACATATTTAATCGTATAATACTAATGCAATTGGTTGCTGATTCAGTTGTTTTAAGGTGCATGATTGTTAATTGTTTCTTGAATAATCACATTGTATTGGAAACAAGTGTTGGTAATGCTCAATCCCACATAGTATTGGAAACACTATTGGGAATGGTATTTAAGGCTTGGCTTTCCCACTTCCTTGTTGAGTGATAGAGAACAAGGGGGACTCTCGAGCGCTGTCGCCGCCGCCGTCCGTCTCGGGTCGGGTAGTGGTCGTGGTCGTGGTCGTGGTCGTGGTCGTGGTCATACGTGTCTTCGACACGTCCGCGCGAATACTATCTTTTTAGAGAAAATTATTAAGAAACAAATGCAATACCACCAGTCGTTGCGAATTTGGAATAAATCGCAACGCGAACTTGGACTATCGCAATGCGAATATGTAAATCGCAATGCGATAGTCGACTATCGCAATGCGAACTTCGACTATCGCATTGCGATTTACATATTCGCATTGCGATAGTCCAAGTTCGCATTGCGATAGTCGAAGTTCGCGTTGCGAATCTGGAAACTGATTTGCGATACCGGAGATCGCGTTACGAATTATCGATCGCATTGCGATTTAGTTGGTCATTTTGGCAAATCCAAAAAAAGTTGGTTAAAATCGTATATTATAAAGCATTTTTGGTCAATGAGGTTATTTTCTCTTTATAATAAACCAATCGTTCAACTGTTAACAATCATAAATGCATTGACATAAATATGATGTGCTTGGATACATCAATATTGACATAGTTGTTAATGTTATTTATTGACATAGTCGTTGCTTTTAAGAATTAGTTCGACGACATGATATGATAAACATTAGTTGTACGAAATAATGTAAACGAATATTCGATTCATAAAATACAACTTCCAATTCTTTAACAAAAAAAGAACGAGCTTAGAACATATGAATAGTTGAATGACAATTTTATAACTTTTAAAAGTCAAGATTAAACAACATAGTCTCCTATAATTAAAGAGCTATTTTACAACTTTGAATAATTAAGGTACTAAAAAAACAATGCCTATAGTAGGAATCTCATTTATTTATTTTACCCTATTTTTTCTACTTTTACATCAATTTCCTATTTTGCCTCAAGAGCCCAGAACTTTTTAATTCTGGGCCCATCATGCGATCCGTTAAGTAAACTCAAGATTAATTGCTTTTTGGAAACAATTAGGATGTGTTTGGTTGAGAGAATATAGGATTATCATGGGAATGAAATCCACATTGTCCCGTTTGGTTGGCCGATAATTTTATTACCGGTAATCTTTCATTACTAATAGTAGATTTTTTTGGGTATATTATCGGGAATGTCATTACCTCACTTTCCTTAGGTATTGTTGGATTACCGGCGTTTTGGATTAAAATGCCCTTAAATTTTTCTTCTTCAAAAATATTCTTATTCTATCATTGAATAATAAAAATTCTACGAATGTTAAATTACAAATTTATTCTTAAACTATTTTAGATTTACAAAAAAAGCTATAATTAAAATTTTATATGAAGTTCAAGAGTTAAAATAAAATTTTACCCTTTCATTAAACCTTTTTATATTTTTAATTTTGTAAAAAAATTTATATAAATTTTATGAATTTAAATATTTTAAATAAAATATATAAATATTTTTCAACTAGTTAAAAAAATAAATATATAATAAGGACAATTTGGTCAATTATATATTTCAATAATCTTTTATTCCTTTAACCAAACACAGTAATATTACATTCCTGCTAAATCAACCAAACACAAAATACAACATTCCTAGTAATTATATTCCCTAGTAATCTTTTATTCTCATTAGTAATCTTATATTATGTGAACCAAACGAACTCTTATGATTTTCAGTTTCCCAACCACCACTATAAAAGTCCACCCTTCGCGTTTCACACATCAATTTGCTGCCCCGCAACGCGAACTCTGCCCTTCAAATTATGGCTCAATCCTCTTGATGTTATCTCTGATTTTGTTTCAATCTTTTTTTTCCAATTCAATCGCTTTAGGCGTTGCGTTCTTCAGTGGCTGTTATAAGTTATCAGAATCCCAAAGGGCGCGTCAACGAAAGCGTAAATCACCTTCATCTCCAACGATTCATTTTAAAAATCCCGCACGCTACACGCTTTCACTGCGAATTGTAGCTTGTAATGTGTTGGATCTGCCATTTTTTTTTAAAAAAAGCTCAAATATCAATCAGATCTGTTCTTCAAAAATTTGTTTCTGCAATTTGATTTTCTCGTCTTTTATGTGTGTTTTAAGTTGCTTCTTACTGGTGAACGCTCTCAGATTTTCAGTGAGGGACGTTCATGTTTCCGAAGCATAGATTAATTCATTTTTAGCCAATTTTAAACAGCGCTGTGCGTTTATTTACTTGCAAGCATTGCGCTACCTGTCTCCTGGTATATTTATTAGTTGATTCTCCTCCTGTTTTTGTTTTCAAATCTATTGGATTCTGGATCTTTTCATAATTCTCTTGTCTATGAAATTCAACTTTATTTCTTCAAGGGGAAATGCATCAAAATAAGTATTTTTAAGTAAAAATAAAATCCATTATAGTCAAAAAGGTGGAGAATGAAATCTCACAGGTATCATACACTTGGTCTAATTTTGTTGTTATGATTAGTTCCCAGTAGAGTAATTTATGGTCCAATTTTGTTGTTATGATGGATTAAGTAAACCCCTGTTTCCATTTCATCAATAAAAAAGCAGGAGTTGGAATATATATATTTGTGCACTTACAAACATGCACGAAGACACATTTTGCTATATTCTAAATTCAAAACAGAGAAAGGCTGACTTGTCATCCATCTAAAACATTTTGCTATGGATTTGAACAACCAGTGTCGAACAAGTTTTGAAGAGCCAGTTGAAATGGCCGAGCCTTGCCTCACCTCTACTCGGAAATCACCAGTAGTGTTCCTTTTAAATCAACTCGTCGAGATCATACTACTTTTGCCTGTATATACGCATCAAATTGTGGCTGTAAGTTAACATGAGGATAGGAATCTATTTTTTGCTTCTCCGTGAGGGGATTGAATTTGACCTCAATCATCAATTGAATGCTAATTTCAGGGTTAGAATCTGATTTTGGTATGTCGGGGATCTTTGCTTACATCATCCATGCTGGTCTATCTAAGATCTCAATTCAAATGTTTTGTTTAGGCCAACCGATTCTTTGAATTGAATACTGTTTTTTTCTAGTAAATAATTGAATTTATTGATCAAATCAACTGGAATCTAATTCTATGCATTTCGAAAATAAAATAAAACTAAATGCTGGATGAAAATGGCGTCAACATGCCTATGTTGTTTGGACCATAGACTATATCATAAATAGTTGCAGGCCTCAAATCAACTACCGAGACGATCTCGTGACCTTGGGCGAGTTTGGGATCGACCAAACAGGAGCCAATGTCAATGGCAATAGGTACTTGAATTGCTTCTTGGGCGTGGCAGCTGAGCTCGACCTGGATTGGGCCTTGTGGACACTCACCGGGAGCTACTATGTGAGAGCAGGAGTTGTGGGGTTAAACGAGAACTACGGAGTCTTGGATTATAACTGGTGTGCACCCAGAAATTCGAGCTTCATACAAAGAATTTCAGCTCTCCAAGCTCCTTTCCTAGGTAAGTGACGTATATTAGTTTCTTTTTATTCGAGATTGATGATGTCAACCGAAAATTTGATGCAAATCTTTTGTTATTCTGCAACGACATATGCGGGTCCAGGTTTGCCGGAAGGCAAACTGCACAAATTTATCTTCCACCCCTTAACGGGGCTCTGTATCACAAGGAAACCATTCGCCCACCGGTAGACGTAAGGGAGCATTGTGTCGACATTTTTAAACTATATAAAACGGTAGTTTAACAACGGCGGACGACTTCATAATCAATCGGAAAAAGATTGTATCAGAAACTTTTTATGAGCCACATGCCTCAGACCACGACTGCCATCAACGTAAGTAAGAGAATGTATGACCAGGCCCACTCCCTAGGAGTGAAACTGATTCG